TAGGGATAGGTACTCAAAGAAGAGGAAGGCTTTTCCTTTTCATATTATGCCTTTCATTATTCTTTGAATTTTAAACTTTGCTTTATAAAACTGATTTTAAAAATATATTATTTTTATTGTGATAAAATACACATAACAACATTTGCCATCTTAACCATTTTTAAGTGTACAGTCCAGTGTAATTAAATACATTTATGGTGTTGTGTGGCTAAGTCAACCATCAATCTTCATTGTCTTTTCAGCTTGTAAAACTGACTCTCTGTATTTATTAAACAATATTTCCCCATTGTCCTTCCACAACCCGGTCAGTCATGCCCTGGCACCTTCATTCCATTGTTTGTCTTTTGATTTTGACTACTCTAACTACCTCATATAAGTGGAATCATATACTTGTCTTTTTTTGTGACTAGTTTATTTCAATGTCTTCAAAGTTTGTCCATGTTGTAGCAGGTGTCAGAATTTCTTTCCTTTTTAAGGCTGAGTGATATTTCATTTTATGTGTATACCATATTTTGCTTATCCATACTTCTGCCTATGGACACATAGGTTGCTTCCACATTTTAGCTATTGTAAATAAAGCTGCTCTAAACATGGGTATACAAGTATCTCTAATACACTGCTTCCCATTGTTTTGAGAAGTATATCCAGGAATGGAATTGCTATATCATATGGTAATTCTATGTTAATTTTTTTACGAACCTCCATAAAGGTACATAGTGACTGTACATTTTACATACCTACCAACAGTGCCCAAGAGTTCCAAATTTTCCACATCCTTAGCAACACTTGCTTTTTTGTTTTTTTGATAGTAGTCATTCTAATGAGTGTGAGGTAGTTACAGTTTGCATTTCTTTAATGATGAGTGATGTTGAGCATCTTTTCATGTGCTTACTGGCTATCTATGGAGAAATGTTTATTCAAATCTTTTACCCATTTTTGAATCCGTTTGTGTGTGTGTGTGTGTGTGTGTGTGTGTGTCTAAGAGTTGTCTATATATTCTGGGTATGAACCTCTTATCTGACTATGATTTATAAATATTTTCTCTCATTCTGTTAGTTGATTTGTTACTCTGTTGATGATGTCTTTTTATGTACAAAATGTTTTAATTTTAATGAAATCCAATTTGTCTACTTTTTTTGGCTATGTCTTTGACGTTACATTTAAGAAATGACTACAGAATTCAATGCCACAAAGCTTCTGCCTTTTGTCTCTAAGTTTTATATTTCAGGTTTTACATCTAGGTCTGTGTTCCACTTTGAGTGAATTTTGTATATGTAATAGGTAAGGGTCCAACTTCATTATTTTACATGTGGATACACAGTTTTTCCAGCACTATTTGCTGAAAAACCTCTTCTTTTTCTATTGAATGGTCTTGGCCTCCTGTCAAAAGTCATCTGACCAAATACATAAGGGTTTATTTCTGAGCTCTTTATACTATCCCACTAGTCAATGTGTCTGTCTTTATGCCTGTGTCACACTATTTTGCTTACTGTAGCTTTGTAGTAAGTTTTGAAAAGAAGTGTAATTCTGCCAGTTTGTTCTTCCTCAAGATTGTTTTGATTATTCAAGGCCTCTTGAAATTCCACATAAATATTATAATGTACTTTTTTAATTTCTGCAAAAAATATTGGGCTTGTGATAGGAATTTCATTGAATCTGTAGATCACTTTGGGCAATATTGACATCTTAACAATATTGTCTTCCTACCCATAAACATGGGGTGTGTTTCCATTTATTTATGTCTTTTTTAGCTTCTTTCAGCAATGTTTTATAATTTTCATTGTACAATTCTTTCACCTCCTTAGTTAATTCCTAAGTATTTTATTCTTTTTAATGCTCTAAATAAAATTGTTTTCTTATTTTTTTCAGATTGTCCATGGTTAGTATATTTTAAAAATGCAAATGATTTTTGTATGTTGACTTTGTATCCTGTTACTTTGATGAATTCACTTATTATTTTTAACAGTTTTTCGTGGAATCTCTGGTGTTTTCTACATCAAAGACATTATCTGTAAACAAAAATAATTTTATTTCTCCCTTCCAATTTGAATGCCTTTTATTCTTGCCTAATTTCTCTGGCAAGGACTTCCATGATATGTTGAATAGAAGTGGTGAGAGTAAGCATCCTTTTCTTGTTCCTAACCTTAGAGGAAAAGCTTTCAATTCTTCACATTGAGTATATTGTATTAAAAGAAAAACTTTGGACAAATTAACATTTAAGAGTTTAATTGTGCAAAGAACAGTTCATCAACTGGGAAGTCCTTTAACCATAATAAGTTCAGAGAGGCTCTGGCATTGCCATATGGTTAAAGATTCGTAGACGGAAAAGGAAAGTGATGTACAGAAAACAGAAGTAATATACAGAAACAGTCAGATTGATTACAACCCTATATTTGCCTTATTTGAATATGGTATGAACAGTTGGCCACTTTGGTTTGTCCAAAACTCAGTGATTGGCACACTGAGGTTACAAGAATATGTTAGAGTCTGTTCTATATCCAGTTAGGTTTCAGTTCACCATGTACAGAGAAACCTTCTGGCCAAACATAAAATATGTCAGGAGGCAGCTTTAGGCAGCTGTAGCCAACTTTAGGCTTAATGTAAATTTACAGATGTTTGCTATGGTTTATATTATGTTTAGACAGTTTCTTTCTATTCCTAATTTATTGAGTGTTTTATCATGAAAGGATATTGCATTTTGTCAAATGCATCAATTGAAATAATCACCTGATATTTTTCCTTCATTCTGTTAATGTGGCCCATTACACTGGTCATTTTTTGTAAGTTGAACTATCCTTGTATTCCAGGAATAAATCCCACTTAGTTGTGGTGTATAATCTTGTTAACATGCTACTGAATTCAGCTGGTTAATATTTAGTTAAAAATTTTGGCATCAATGTTCAGAGTGGATATTAGTCTATAGTTTTCTTTTCTTGTGGTGTCTTTGTCTGGATTGGATATCAGGGTAATGCTGGCCTCATAAAATAAGTTAGAAAGTTCTCCCTCCTCTTCAATTTTTTTGGACAAGTTTGAAAAGGATTGGCATTAGTTTTTCTTTAAATGTTTAGTAGAATTCTGAAGTGAAGCCATTAGGATTGAGACTTTTCTTTACTGGTTTTGATTACTGATTCAATCTTTTTACAAGTTACAGGTTTATTCACATTTTCTCTTTCTTCATGATTTAGTCTTGGTAGATTTTGAGATTCCATAGATTTGTCCATTTCATCCAGGTTATTCAATTTGTTGGCATACAGTTGTTCATAGTACTCTCTTATAATTCTTTTATTTCTGTAGAAATGTTAGTAATGTCCCATTTTTTATTTCTGATTTTAGTTATTTGAATCTTCTCTGTTTTTTCTTAGATTTTAGTTAAAGGTTTTCACTTTTGTTCATATTTTCAAAGACCCAACTTTTGGTTTCTTTTTTTTTTTCTTTTTTCACGGAGCTGAAGGCCAATCAAAACTGGCCTGTTTATTTTCCAAGCCAAGTGAGACTCAGGACTCAGCCCTTCCCTGCCCACCCCAGAGCAATATACAGCTGAGAGTCCATGCCCTACCCCTCAAGCCTTAACAGAGCAGACAAATTAATGATCTCTTTTTATAAAACATTGTACAGGGAAAATACATACATATAGAGAGGGCTAGTGCTGGAGATGGGATGAAATTTGCTTCTTGAACACAGATAACCAGACCCTCCTCCATCAGGGTAGCTGGCCTTGGTCATCTGGGCGCCTGCCCAACTCTGCACTGTCTTCCCTAAAGTGGCTCACCTGCTGTCCTGACAACGCAGTGCCTCGGCTGGACCACAAATAATAAAGGTCCAACATCTTCATCCAAAGGGATGGCCTTTGGATGGCCCCCACCAGCCTACTCCTCTGAAATGGGCCACTATCCTGTCCTTTCTTTTTCTTGAGGCAGCCTACCTTATCCTGGTCCCAGAAATTTGGCCCACCAGGACCTGAAGATAGGGAAAAGACCAAGGAATATTGTTTCCTGATATGTTTGGTGATCATATATCATCCACACCGGGACTTTTTTGAAAAGTGGAAGGGGCTTAATTCACTGGAAAATAGGCATAAACCTGGGCTGCCCAGGCAAAGGATACATGATCACCCTACAGACAGGTCTCCCCTGCTCTTTTTTTTTTTTTTTTTTTTTTTTTGAGACAGTCTCGCTCTGTCGCCAGGCTGGAGTGCAGTGGTGCGATCTCGGCTCACTGCAACCTCTACCTCCCGGTTCAAGCAATTCTCCTGCCTCAGCCTCCCAAGTAGCTGGGACTACAGGTGCACACCACCATGCCCAGCTAATTTTTGTATTTTTAGTAGAGACAGAGTTTCACCATGTTGGCCAGGATGGTCTCAATCTCTTGACTTTGTGATCCACCTGCCTCCACCTCCCAGAGTGCCAGGATTACAAGCCTGAGCTCCCGGCCAGGTCTTCCTTGCTCTTAACTGGCCCAATCCTAGCACCCTTTTTTTTCCTTTTTTTGTATTTTTAGTAGAGATGGGGTTTCACCATTTAGCCAGGATGGTGTTGAACTCCTGACCTCAAGTGATCCACCAGCCTTGGCCTCCCAAAGTACTGGGATTACAAGTGTGAGCCACAGTGCCCAGCCAACCAATCCTACCACTCTTGACTTTCCCAAACACATTCCCCATCAGCAGCAAGCTTCTTAGGACCTTTGTTTCCATCTCTGCTGCCTCCACTCTCCAAGGCTTTCTAGCATCTTAAAGCATCAACAGTATTGGTGACTTGTAGTATCAGTGTTAGGAAAAATGCCCCCTCCAAATCCCATATGAGACCAGCCATGTAAGGCCCCTAGAGTCAAGCCTAAGACTCATGGCTCCTTGGGCCCAGTCTCCAAAATCAGTCCTGCACAGGTCTGAATAGCAAAGCAAGGCGCAACCCTGTTTCCCATCCTAAACTTCCCAGTCTCCTCTCTCTAGGCCTCCCTATAGCTAAGGGCCAGGGCCAAGGAGAAATGAACCATTCATCTCCCACCTCTGCCCTTGGCCGATGCAAAGGGCTTCCATTCCACATGTGGGAGCTTCTCTCCCCACCACACACATTGTACTTCTCCGAATGTTATACATACACATTCCTGGTCCCATCTCAATGTGGCTGGGCACCCCAGGTGTCACCTGTTGCTTGGGATGGCAGGTGATAGAGGCTAAAGATCTCCCTGTGGTGCCCTCCATGCCCACTAGGACAGGGCTGGGCCTGACAGGCAATCTCAGCTATCTCCATGGTTCCAGTTCAGAGTCAAGGCCCCACCCCTTGCTTTCAGAACCTGCTCAGTAGGCCGTGCTTGTAAAAAAAACTTCTAAATAACTCTTGCTAAAGCAGAGACAGTACCAGAGGGCAGAAACTCAGCACCTAGGTTCTGAACGGTTCCTCCTCTCTACCCTCCTTCCCCTCCCACCCCAATGTGTAACAACAGTCCACAGCCATACCAGCACTTTGGGAAACAGAAGCCCACTCTTGATCCTCCTGGGCCACTGCTTCTCATCGTCCGTCTTCTGGGATCAATGACTCCTCTGTTTCTGAGTCAGGTCGCCTAACACACGCTGTGTACCACCCCCCCACCCCACCAAGAAACAAGTGCTCAGATCCTTAAAGACACTTAAAGACATAGTTTGCTGGAGTAGAGCTGAGAGAACCCCTGGCTCAGCAGGCGGCTTTCTGATGGGCCCCTGAGCAGGCATAGGAGATGGGATGGCGGGTCCCAGGCCTCACGGTGAACCTGTTGATGGGGCTTCCATAGCGGGTGGTGGTGTGGGGAGACCTGCCGGCAGCTGGGGCGAAGCAGTAGTCGGCGCCACCCGGCGCTTTGCGCTTGGCCTCCGCGGCGCCCCAGGCGGCGCCCTCCAGGGACAGCCTCCGCGCGTGCAGCCCTCCGGGGGGGCGCGCGGCCAGCCGAGTTCACCCGCCGCAACTTGGGGCCTCCGGGCTGTGGCCTGAAGCAGTTGGGGGAGCTCAGGCTGCGGGCGGTGCCGCCACGGGACAGCCCTGTGTCGTGATGCGGCTCCCCGACGTACAGGCGCTTCTTGATGAGCGAGCGGCAGGCTCCAGAGAAGCGGTCCAGGCCGCCCGCCCCGGTGTAGCGCGCGCCGGCGGGAAAGCGCGAGAAGCCGCGAGCCAGGGTCACAGCGGGGCCGGCGTCCGGGGTCTGCCCCAGGTCTGAGTAGTTGTTCCGAGGAGGGCAGCCCCGGCGGCTCAGATACTGGAGGGCCGGCGCCAGGGATTCAGCGTCATTGCCGAACTCTGGTGGCGGTGGGATGACCTCGAAGCTGAACTCTTTCTCCTCCTCCTCCTCCTCCCTCTTGTACGATGGAGAAGGTGGGGAGGAGAAGGACTTGAGCAGCGGTCGGCCCTGGGTGGGGGGTGGGGGTGTGGAGGCAGCTGCTTTTACCCAGGCCACAGGGCTTGGGGCTCCGTCTTTGTCCAGCTGTGTCTGCTGCTTGGCTGTGTGCCCTGTGTCTCTTCCTGGCTGTGGTCCCCACGTATTGGGTATTTCAGTGGTCAGCGGGGAGCCCTTCGCAGCCTCCTTGGGTAATTTGGGTACCACAGTGAAGGAGTTGGGCCTGCCCTGGTTGTGGAAGATGCTGTCAGAGCCGGCCTCGACTTGTTGGCTGTGGTTACGTAGACTCCCTGGCAGAGAGGATCGGCCCAGGGCAGCCCCTCCAGGCCTCCCGCTCTGCGCCCTCTGCCTGGCCGCCAGGAGCAGGGCCATCTGCGAGCCCTCCACTATATCCCCAGTCACCGGGTGCCTGAGGAGTTCATCAGTGGGCTGGGTTTGGGCAGGGGGCTTGGCTGGCAGTCCCAGGGGCTCCTTCACCTCCATGGGCTCCCCTGGTCCTGCAGCCTCTCCTTTGGCCAGGGTGGGCATCACCACACGAACCTCACGACTGGGGCTGCCCTGGCACCAGTGGGGTTTGTAGAGACACGGCACCTCTCCTCTACCAGAAGATGCCTTTGGTGGGAGGGCTGGAGATGAGCGGGCTCCCTGTGTGGGCAGCCTGGCGGCCTCTGAGGAGGACCCCTCTGCCCTTGGCTGGGAGGGAATGGAAACTTCTTGAGATGCTAGTTTCTCTGGCTTCCCAGCTGGGCCTGCAGCCTTCTCTGCCATCAGTTGGGATGTGGTGGTTGGCAGAGTTGTGGCTGTAGATGGTATGGCAGGGCCAGATGTGGCCTTGGGTGGTGTGACTGGCCCAGGCATGGCCTTGGGCGCTGTGGCTGCTGGACTAGGTGTGGTTTTGGGTGCTGTGGCTGGCCCAGGTGTGGTTTTGGGTGGTGTGGCTGGTCCCAACGTGGCCTTGGGCTGGAGTGATGTGGTTGGCAGCAGGGTGGTAGTTTGAGGTGGTAGATTCTTGGCCGCAGGCTTGGAGATTTTGTTATTATCAGCCCCGTTTTCAAAGATTCTTCCCACTTCTAGCCGAGGCTTAGGGAGCAGAGACCCTATGCTGGGCTTAGTCTCCTTCTCTGCTGATGAAGAGAGCCAGGCCTCCAGCTCATTCCGGATCTGCTGCACACTGAGAGTGGGAGAGTCTTGGGGAATGTAGTCCACAGGCGGCAGCGTCAGGCTGGAGGGAGCCTCTGTCTCTGTTAGGCTGCTGTCATGGAGACTCTTCAGGAATACTTGGGGGAGTGTCCTTTGCTGGCAGGCTCAGGCCCTTCTTGCCCTCCTTGCTCTGAGAGGCCACTGTTGGGCTTGGCCTGATACTGAGGAATCAGTCTTCTCTCCTGGAGCCACGGAGATAGGCTGTCAGCTCGCTCTGCAGCTTTTCCATCTGGCTGGGGTCCCTCCAGTCCACAGGTGCTGAAGACGCTGTGTCCTCTCGGCTGCGGGACGTGGGTTTGGGTTTGAGAGAAGGAGAGCTGGATTTGGGGTTTTTTGTAAACCCAGCAGGCAAAGGGGCTGCCTTCTCAGCAGAGGGCAAAGGAGGTGCAACTGGGGGAAGTGGGGGTGCTGGGGGAGGGAGGGGGGTGCAGGAGGTGGCAGGGGAGGGGCTGGAGGCGGAGTCCTAGCAGCTCGTTCATCTGCCTGGTACTGGAACTGGCCAAGCCTTGGGCTGGCTGGTGCTGTGGCCCCGAGCTCCCCAGGGCAGTCTGGCTCCAGGGCCCTGTCTGGGTAGACCTGGGAAGCAGGGCAGATATGGAAGCTGGGAGGCAGTAAGAGTCAGCTGGGAGCCTTCTTTGTGGCCCCCTCTTCCTTTTGGGGAGCCTCTTGTGCTTCCTGAACTGGGATGGATGAAGTCCTGACTGGGGTTGGGGGAGGCACTTTGAAAGAATGGGGGACGGTGAGGTGGGGCTCTGGGGTGGGTCCCAGGGTGCTCCCCTTTGGCTCAGCGGGGCTTCTCGGGGGGCTAGCTCTGGTGGCCTCTGTCTGCCTGCCATTTAGTGCTACATCTGATTTCCACATGGGGACACCCCCAGGGGGAAAGAGGCGAGTCCCCACTGTGTGAGGAGATGCTGGAACAGGGAGTACTGGGGCTGGCAGAGGAGGTGGGGATGGGGGTGGGCGAGAAAGGCTAAGGGTGGGGCAGGGGGAATGAAGTCAGGAGGGGTGGGTGTGGGTGGGGAGGAGAGAGTGTGTGGTAGGGACAGGGCCTCCAATACTGGGGTTGGAGGTGGGGCCATGCTGGGTGGGGGTGGGGGTTCCAGCAGCAGAGGAGGTGGTGGGGGAGCTGTGGAAGGTGGAGGTGGCAGTGGCCACTCCCGGGGAGGTTGTGAAATGTCCTGAGGAGGCCCCCGGGGCTGGGCCTGGGGGGGGTCGGGGGATGGGCAGATCCTGGCCATACTGCCCAGGCCTCAGGTCACCCACAGAGCTGTACAGTCGGAGGTTGCCATTGACCAGTGAGGTGGTACCTGTCACTTCTTTGTCTGCAAAGTCTTCTGGAACTGAGGGGGTGGGCACAGCCAGCCCATGGTTTTCCTGGGCATTCAGCGGAAGGAAGGTCAGCAGGGGCCGGACTCTTGGCCAAGCTTTCAGCGTGGCTGTTCCTGACTCACTCACTGTGTTAAACCGACTGTCTCCATAATAGATGCCATCGAAGCCCCCGGTCCCCTCCTCTGGGGCCTCTTGGGTGAAGATCCAGGGCGGGTTGGTGGCGTAGAGGGAGATGCTGGGGCGGGTGGCGTGCTTCTTCCCGAAGAGTTTGCTGAAGGTGCCCTGCACCGTCTGGTTCTTTTTCATGCTGCCGCAGCCCGCGCGGACGCCCGGGAAGGACCTTGCCTCTGTCGCCCTGCCCAGCCCGGGACTGAACGCAGCGCGGTCTCTCCAGGGGACTCTACCAGGCCATGTCCCCCGCTGTCCTCCCCGCCCGCGCACCGGGCGACAGGTGCTGCGGGTGCCGCTGCTCGCCGGGAAATGCGAGCTACCTGGCCAGGTAAGAGGCAGCCTCCCGGCCCGGCCCCACCCCGCCGCCGCCCAACTCCCCTGGCCGCATTCCTTCTTGCCTCCTTCTGCAACAGGCCATTGTAGGTACGGCCTGGTGGGCTGGGGACCTCGCCCGGCCCATGCCCAGCCTGGGAGACGGGCCACCCCCTCCCCCAGGTTCCGTCCTGACCCGCCTTCTCCACCCTACTTCTCCCTGGGCCCCCCAACTGTTGGTTTCATTGATTTTCCTCTGTTGTTTTCCTATTCTCTATTCACTGATCTCTGTGCTAGTCTTTAGTTCCTTCTTTCTGCTTTGAGTTACTTTGTTCTTTTTCGTTCTAGTTCCTTCAGTTGTAAAGTTAGGTTGTTAATTTTAGACTTCTATTTTTTAATTTAAGTTCTTATAGCAACACGTTTCTTTCTTAGCACTGCTTTTGCTGTGTTCCATAAATCAGGGTATGTGGTGGTTTTGTTTTAATCTATTAAGTATTTTCTAATTCCCTTTTGATTTCTTCTTTGATCCATTAATTAAAGAGGGTGTTATTTAATTTCTACAGATTCCTGAATTTTTCAGTTTTATTTTTGTTATTGATTTTTAACTTCAATCTGTTGTGGTCAGAGAAAATACTTTGTATGATATCTGTTTAAATCTATAAAACTAAATTTGTAGTCTAATACATGGCCTAAATTTTAAAAAAAGTCCCATGTGCACTTGAGAAGAGTGCATATTTACTATGTTATTTAAATCTTCTATTTCCTTAATCATTTCATGTCTAGTTGGTCTATTCATTTTTGAGAATGGGGTGTTGAAGTCTCCAAATATTATTGTAAAACTGTATATTTCCCCTTGAATGTCATCAGTATTTGCTTCATATGTTTAATGTTCTGTCATTAGGTGTTTATATGTTTATAATTATTATACCTTCTTACTATATCAAAACTTTCATTAATATGTAATGTCCTTCTTTGTCTCTTGAATAATTGATTTTTTTTTTTTTTTGAGACGGAGTTTCGCTCTTGTTGCCCAGGTGGTGTACAATGGCACGATCTCAGCTCACTGCAACCTCCACCTCCTGGGTTCAGGCAATTCTCCTGCCTCAGCCTCCTGAGTAGCTGGGATTACAGGCACGCACCACCATGCCCAGCTAATTTTTTGTATCTTTAGTAGAGATGGGGTTTCACTATGTTTACCAAGATGGTCTAGATCTCTTGACCTCATGATCCACCCGCCTCGGCCTCCCAAAGTGCTGGGATTACAGGCTTGAGCCACCGCGCCCAGCCTGAATAATTGATTTTTATACATATTTTTTCTTCGTTTGCTAGAAGAATTATCTGGATGGTGAAATTAAAGATCTTTTCTCCCTTATACTTTTATGTTTAAAAAAAACTAATACATTTTATGAAAATTCAAACTAGCCTGCAGCACCAAAGAAAAGCAATAAACACTAACCATACTTTCTTAGCAAAATGTCTGTTTCTTGTTTTGAACACTGAGTTATTTCTCATCCACCTAATCCCATCCTCCTAATTTTAGATAAAGTTTGAAGTATCGACAATGCTCTCGTGAAATTCTATTGTTCCATTTCTTCTACTATATTTTCTTATGCTCCATTTCTTCTACTACATTTGAAATAATCACCCTACCACTACTCAGTCCTTAGTCATAATACTATGTTTTTAGAGTCAAATCCAATCCAGTGCAAATAAAGTATCAAATCTACCAAAAAAAAAGACCCTTTTCTCTCTCCTTATGAAAGGAACAGTTGAATGATGACATGCTGTCTTTGCCATGAGCATTGTTACTGAAGATATCAAGTTTATATATTCAGGCATTGTAGTAGCAAATAGGAATGGTTTTCTTTTTTTAATTCCTATTCAAGTTGTCAAAAGAAAGTCGCCCCAAAATGCTCTGAGTCAGAAAGTTTATGCCATTTATTAAATACACTGCACTTTAATATAAGTCTGAAGGAATTACATTTGAAACTGACTATAAGTTTGTAATAGGCAGATGAATTATAGTTTGCTTCACTAGAATAAAACGACAATAAAACATCTCTGGAAATACATCTATCACGAGTTAGCTTCTCTGAAAACAAATGATGAAATAGAATATGGCATGCTAGATGTTGATTAGCAATCCATAACTCTGCAAACGAGGGTAAGAAAGCAGGATTGGCCAACGACAAGTCAAACTGCGGGGCAGGCCCACAAAGCCCTGGCTGGACCCACGGGAAGCTCTCAAGTGTACATGACATGAAAGTATACCAGGGTGAACTACGGAAATGGTTGAAACTTTATGCCCTTCCTGCAATTATTTATTAGATTTGGTCTGTCCCAGGGTTTACCTTTGGGTGAGGCAGCTCTCTGCAGCTGGGACAGTTCAGAGGGTGCTGAGAGCTAGAAGCTGACTGCTGAACTCTCAGTAGCTGGGCAACAAGTCATTCAATAAATGGGAATGTGGGCAGTGCTTCTTCACATCACTACAATGTCTATTTAGGAGATCTATCAAGGAATTGTAACTGGGAAAATTATTTCAATCCTGATATGACCAGATACAACACATTTTAAAAATAATCATCTATGAGACAGTCACGGAAACTTGAACAGGTGACTGGTAATTTAATGATATTTAGACATAATTGTCAATTTCTAAGTTGTGTAGTCATATTTTGAAAAAGAATTTTTTAGAGATACATGCTAAAATACATACAGTACTACAAATGATAACAGTGATTTGCTTCAAAATAAGCAGGGGGTGGGGAGAATGGATAAAATATGGATGAAACAAAATTGGACATTAGTCAGTAATTAAGTTGGGTGATACCATACTCCATACCTTCATGTTTGAAACTTTCCATCATAAGAATTAAAACACACACACACACACACACACACACACACACACACACACACATTCAGATTTTGCTTAAAAGGAGAAAAAAATTCTACTGATAGGACAAATAAAGCATATATTCAGAACTCACTTTCCTTGGAAATTCTTTGCTGACATTATGAACTGAATATGGGTAATTCCTGTTAGCCACAAAATTCCTGTGAAATGGAATAGAGATTATTTCAAAACTTTTTACGGAAAATACCTAGAGAGTATTACTGGTAACTCATAGAATGAAAACAAAAATTTAACTTAATTCCAGCAGAAATGTCTGTAAAACCCTCTCTATCTCATCAAAATTTTGTTATGAAGCAACTTCAACGAATTTTCCTTTTATGATATTGGTTGTGGGTCTTTGGATTGGGCAGGGAAATATTAAACCCTTTACAGCATTTGTATCCAGGGAGGGCCATTTTAAATGGGTTAAACAGTGAGAAATCTTTCCATTTGAAAACGCTTTTCTTCTGATGAAGCAAGTCTATTGTACAGATGATACAAGTCACTATTTCTACAGAGATAGTAATTATTATAAAAAGGGAAAGAAAGGAAAAAATTTCAGCCACAATTAAGTTTTATTTTTAAATTCATGTCCATCTTTATATAAAGCCCTCAAATTGTCCCATTGATGGCAGTAATCAAATATAGAGAACAGAAATGTGCCATGACAATATATATGTGTACATCACACACACACACACACACACACACACACACACACACACAAAATGCAAGTGCAGTAGCTGATGGGCTGAGATGGTTCTTTCCAGCCCCAATTATGATTGATAGCATTCCATTACCTTTATGCTTATTTTAAAATCCCCTTGACACGAATTGATTAAAGGCATGGACCTCTATGAACCTATGAAAAATTTATGGATTTTGAAAGAGCTTTAACATGTACCATTTGAGCACAAATCATTTCCTGGCTGTCACTGTTTTTCCCACAATTTTTCTTATGTTGGTAATATATGTTTAATAATAAAAAACTGATGCTAAGGATTAAAGCACCAAGATGTTACAGAATAAAGCAACAACAACAAAAAAGAAATTAGATTTGTATGATTTTAACTATTCTTTAATCTGCTTCTGGGCAACAAAAGTGATTTGTGTCAGCTGTTATTGCATTAAACTTTAATTTTCTTCCACCGGCACAGGATTATATAAAGGAGTATTGGATTGCACTCAGCATGGATTAGTGGAGCACTGTCTCTGCTGCCAAGGAGCAAATGGATTTCCTTCTTTCTTTGATTTATATTTTCATTGCTGTTTTTCCCCTCCTTCTAATTCCCATTACCCTTCTGTTTGCCAGCACTGAGATACCCTGTAGGAGCAGCAGAAAGGCAGGCAGAATTATTGGCTTATTGCATATATTTACGTTCCAAGGCATCTCAGTCATCTATGTCAGAGGAATAAAGTAGCCTCCAGCCATAGAGACTGCATGCCAGTTTCAAACTATAATATTAAAACTTGTTTTTTAGGTAAAAGCTCACCTGCTTAAAATCAGCCAAACTAGCTGGGTTTGGCCTCACTTCAGATGTCCTGGCTGTATCTCACAGCAGATGGAGAAAACCACTGAGACAGAAAATAAAGATCCCAGGACTCCCTTTTGTGCACAGGAGGATATATGCAGCAAACCCCTTAAGACTCAAGCAGGAGAATCGCCTCTCTGGCCTTTCCCGTTAGAGTCTTTGAAAGATATGAGATTGCCTCCGGAAATAAGAGCAAATAAATTCCCTCTACTCAAGGAATGGAGGGCCGATTGTTGGCACTCTGCATGCAGCCTAGAGGGGGCGCTACGGACATGGCTCCAAGACTGCCGTGGAGACATCGGTTGACTCAGGCTGCACTAAGCAGAGGACACAGAGGAACAGTAGCAAGTAAACAAGAACAATGGCGTGTTCTGTTTGGTCTGCAAAGGTCTCTGGATTTCTGAAGAAGAAAATGAGCCTGACAGATTTCAGTTCTGGTTTTGGTTCTCACGGACTTCTTGAAAATAATGAATTCTTAAGTCTCAGAAAAGCGGCTATTACAAAGCAGCTCCACAGCAGATGCCACTTAGCAATACTTGGGAAGAATCTGAGCTGCCAAACTAGGGCCTGGCTCTTCTCCAGAGAGTAGCCCCTGCATTGGGAGCCACATGTATTCCCCAGGGGAACCACAGTGGCTGTCCCAAATCAAAGAAACATTAATAGCACCATTTCAAAGAGAAGAATAAAGATATTTAAAACCAGTGGCAGTCTGTTAAAACTAGACTGAGAACTCATTGATGGAGCAAAGAGGTTTCCATAGAATTCAAAGAGCGGAAAACCTTGTTCATGAATTCATCCATAAGCATCCTTTGGATATAGAGCACACTCAAGATTTGGAACTCTAAAAGTGTAGTTAGATGTGACCATCTTCATTCAGACCTTTTAACACATCTATTTGTGGACTAAATTAGGTAGGATGTGTTTCCAAGATCAAGTCTCACTTATTACTTGTCACTAATCCTTACATTTCAGTGTATTTTTACATCAGATACAATGTTATACCATAGAACAAACACTCAGAAATTTCACTCTAAAGGTATACAATATCTAGCTCAGCTATTCAACAAATGTTTGTCTCTTCTCCTTCAGCCCCATAATGCTATTAAGATATTCCCCTAGTTGTTTGGTTAAAGCCACTTTTTAAATAGGCTATGTTGATTCTTCATTAATTATAATGCCTTAAATGGAATCCATGCCACACCAAATTCATAGCAAATTCCATTCTATATTGAATAAACTTATATTGAGGAGCTCTTTGGAAAGGCTAAACTTGATTTCATCATTCCTGTTTCTTCTCATGGATTTCTGGACAGTGAATATAATTTTTATTTCCACTGAGAATGTTGACTTTGAAGGATATTCTTATGTATAGACAATTCTCTGGAACTTTTTTCATAAGGGATTCTCTAGGTCATGTCACCGAAAAGATTATCTAACCTCTATACCTGAGGTTAGATAATCATAGCTCAGAGTCATCTGCAGTTAAGGTCTTTCCCAGTTAAGCCAGACCTCTATCATATTTCGCTTTGGGGACTAACAGTTATCTGTGAAAATGTCCCCTAAGATTCAATAAAAACCTACAATATCTTAGAAAAAAAAAGGACAACACTTAAAAATATAACAGACAAGGGAAATTAGGGTGATTCTCTACTAAACATATAATATAGTAGAGTAGGTTCCTGATAAAACATTGTGGTTCATGCCTTATGCCTCAGGCATAAAAGGAATTTGCCTTCTCTCTACCAAGCTGTTTCACTACTCAGCAAACTTTGACTGGGTTGATATATATTGCTCTCATAGTCTCTTCTCTTTTAAAAAACAAAAGTCTTGATCAAGGAGCTCTTAAATTTAGTCGCTGTAAGATAAAAATTACAAAAATAGTTTTAAGTATTATTTCATTATTTCTATGAAACATTTATATCACTGAATCTTAGTTGCATTAATGAGGTAAAACTTTTAGGAGCTCCTGTAAGTTTGCCTTTTTGACTAATCATCCAGCTAGACTTGCATAAATCTATGTATATTAAATCACATTAAAAACATTGGGAATTTATGCCTAAATTTACAGTGAATGAAATGTCTTAATATATAGTTTTCTTTTGAAATTCTATGTGGAAAATTGTTTTGTTTTGCATTTGTCAGGTTTATGTTGCAATAATTCTATGTAACAAACATTCCCCAAAACTCATTGTGTGATCTTTTTCCTTCCAACACTAAATATGTGTCATTTTTCCACACTAATTGTCTGAGATCAACTAGGTATTCAATAATTTTCTGGAAATTCCATTTTGACACCAACTCCCAGGGTTAATGCAGATCCCACAGGTTAAAGGCTTAGTCTCACAAGACAGACCCCACTTCAAACATCAGCCACAAATGGGGTACTCAGGCTACCCATACTTTTTCCCAGAAGACTACAAATTCAGGGGTTCCCATGATCCCTCCTCAGGTTTCACAATTTGCTAGAACCATTTGCCAAAATTAGAAAAGTGCTTTACTTAAAATTACTGGCTTATTTTAAAATAAACAACTCAGGAGAAGCTAAATGGAAATGATACATAGGGCAGACTATTGACAGGAGGTAGAGGGGGTAGGGGGATGCAGAGCTTCTATGCCTTCTCTGGGCTCATCCCCCAACACATCAATGTGTTTACCAACCCATAAGCTCTCTGAATCTCATTGTTCAAGAGTTTTAATAGAAGTGTCATTATGAAGGCATGATTGGTAAATCATTGGAAGTTGATGACTCAACTTAATTTCCAGCCCTTTCCCTTAATCACATGATAGGTTTTTCTGATGGCTAGCCCCCTCTATGAAGCCATCTGTGGCACCCCCATCAGCTATATCATTAGCATACAAAAGATGGTAAGTTCAAGGGATCTTAGGAGCTTTGTGCCAGGAATAGTCAATAAAGACCAAATATTTATTTTTTTTATTATATACAAAACAGTGTCTTATAAAAACAAATATTCTTTCATCTGTTATAGATCTTTCTGTAGGTATATTTGGTCTTTGCAGAGTTTAGTGAGGATCATCTGGGCTTAGCTCAAGTTAAGATTTAGCAGAGATATATTTGATGTATTTTCTCATGTTGGGCCCAGCAGTTATCCAGTATATGTTTCTGTCATGGTAAGTGGTCTAAGTACCAGTGAGGTGAACAGAAATACGCAATTCCTCTTAAAGCTTCATATTAGAACCAGTATACTATCCCTTCCACCCACATTCAACTGGCCAAAGCAAATCACATGATCAAACCCAAAGAGGGATCAAGGAAGTATTTTCACTCTGCTCACATGGCATTAATTGAGTGGGGAGGGGAAGTAGCAAAATATTTTCTGACAAATAGTATAATACACCAAAGGTCTTCAAACTTTTTCCTCAAAGGTCAGATAGCAAAGAGCATCACCAAAAGTATGGCTATGTTCCAGCCAGTTCCATGACTTAGAGTTTGCTTACCCCAACCATATAACACAGTGTGCCCTATTGTCACAATTTTCACTCCTAGATACAAATTGATGATACTCCAAGACTCATATTCAATCAGGATCAATGTCTAGGATCTTATGACAGTATCTATTTTAGACTAAAATTTAGCAACTCATCATCTAGAGACTTATCATCTGCTTCTAGATGTGGCAAGTCATATACACAAAATGAAAAGAGGTAGCTTAACTGCAGTAAAAATCCTCATTTGGAAAAGAATTGAGAGCACAAATCCCAATGAGTGTGGTAAATTCACCCTGATTATATCCTAGACACAACTTCTAGGAGTAACTCACCATTCCATTGTTCAACATGGTTCTTTGATCTACCCTTCATAATATCTTCTCTTTCTTCATTGTTGGCCACATCTGAAAACATAATCAGAGAATATAACTTTCTTAGAACTTAACCAGCTTCCTAAGCCTGTTTCTTGCTTGCATAAAGTTGGAACCCCAATGTTCTCTTTCACTCTCAAATTCAGGGTGATGTACTTTTGTAATTTTTTTTTTAGGCAGTGAGTTTGATCCAGTCAGCCCTATATGTCAAAAGTCACTTTACAATTCTTTTTATGGAATGTCTCTCTTTCTCTCATTTACAAATCCTTTGGCAATATCTTCCTCCAGTGGTATTATACCCTTTGTATCCAGTATAGAAGTCATTTTGTCCAACTATAATGATCTACTGAGTCCCATATTAAGCCATTTAGAGTTTCTAACCAAAAATGTGACAACTACGGTCATATTTTGATGTATGCTGTGGGGCCGTTTCCTTAAAATTGAGTCCTTGATATAGGTTGTAACCATGAAGCTGAGTCTTAGAAAGCCTTTAAACTCAAAATATTTATTTTATCTTCAGCCTGTGAAGATAAAAAATAATTTTTTTACCTTCAAGAAGGTTTAAATTCTAGAGTTACTGATCATTCTATATTCTCTTTCAGTTTTGATTGTTTTTTGCTATGTTCCTTTCTTGAGGTACCACTCCAAATGAAACTAGTAATAATCAGCTCAACCTATCAACAATCTGCATCAAAACTTCTGTACTTAATGCACAGATGAGACTCACTTTAGGTCCTAAGAGAAAAATCAATTGAAAAGATAGAGAAAAAGCATTCCATGAAAATAGTAATCAAAAAAGAGAGGGGTATCCATATTAATATCAGATTAAACAGATTTTATGTAAAAATTGTTACAAAATATTTACAAGGTCATTATTTATGATGAGAATAATTCATTAGGTTTAGTTTTACCAAGTGTTTCACCCCCAAATACCATGGATTGAAATTTATAGGTTATTTACAACAGTTTCCTCACTATCTCATTTCAAAGCCAGTGCCCTATATTTTAGGTTGTTGTCATGGCTACATGCCATTCTTCTTTTTAGAATTTCAACTTTGATTTTAGATTCCAAAGAAGACATATAAGCAGCCAACAAATATATTAAAATGCTCAATATCACTAATCATCAGAGAAATGTATCCCATCCTTCCAATTTCTGCAAAAGGTTTTGCTTTAACAATGATGCTTAACAAACATTTGTAAAATTTAGTGGTTGACAATAACAAATGTGTATTTCTTGCTGGTTATATGAAGTTAATGGAGTTCATTACTGTTAGACCTGCCCTACCTGAAATTCTAAAGAAAGTCTTTCAGGTTAAAATGCAAAGACATTAGACAGTAATTTAAAGCTGTATGAAGAAATAAAAACTCCAGAAAAGTAAGTTCATAGGTAAATATAAAAGCCAGTAATATTGTATTTTTGGTTGGTAACTCTTTTTTTGTTTCCTATATAATTTAAAGGACATATGCATAAAACAATAGTTATATATCTATGTTAATGGGCACATATGTATAAATGTATAATTATGATAATAAATACATAGAGGGTGAGGAAATGGAGCTATATAGAAGCAAAGTTTTTATGTGCTATTGTAACAAAGTTGGTATCAATTCAGTGAATGTTATAAATTTAGGATGCTACCTTTAATCCCCAAGGTAACCACTAAAAAATAACTAAGAAGTACATAGAAAAGGAAATGAGAAAGAAATGAAAATGATACACTGAATAATTAAACACAAAACCAGGCAGTATTGGTATAACTGAAGAACAAAAAAAATGAAAAGTAGCAAAATGCCAGAAGTATTTCCTTACCAGTAATCACTTTAAACATAAATGGATTAAACCCATCAGTTAAAAGACAGAGGCTGGCAGAATAAATTTAATAAATAATTCAAATACATGTTGTCTAAAGAGACTAACTTTAGATCCAAAGATGAAATTAGATTGAATTCGAAAGGATAAAAAAATATTCCATGCAAGTATTAATGAAAAGAGTGCTGGGATGCCTATATTATCAGACATAACCAATTTTGAATAAAAACTATTAGAGAATATTTAGAAAATTGCTATTATTTGGTAAAAATATCAATACATGAATAAGACATAAAAATTATAAACATGTACCAACAATACAGTCCCCAAATATATGAAGCAAACATTGCTTCTGTGGAAAACAGTGGGGCTTCCTCAAAAACTTAAACATAAAATTGCAATATAACCAACATTTATACTTTTAAGAATATGGTCAAAAGAATTTAAAACAGAGATACAGATATTTGCACGTGAATGCTCATAGCAGCATAATTCATAATATTCAAAAGGTGAAAATAACTCAAATGTTCATCCATGAGAGAATAAACAAATTATAGTATATACATACAATGGAATATTATTCAGCCATAAGAAAGAATAGACTATTTCTGGCACTTGTAGTCTCAGCTACTCAGGAGGCTTAGGATCACTTGAGCCTAAGCGTTCAAGGGTATAGTGTGCTATGATCATGCCTATCAATAGCCACGACACTCCAGCCTGGGAGACATAATGCGACCTCATCTCTAAAAAAATTAAAATAAAATACATCCATAACATGGATACATTTGAAAACATTATTCTAAGTGAAGGAAGCCAGATCCAAACGGTTATATATTAAACAATTACACTTACATGAAATACCCAGATTGATTCATACAGATGAAAAGCAGATTGGTGGTTTCTAGGGGATGGGGGTAAGGGTTATAAGGAATAACTGATTAGTGATATGAGGTTTTCTTTTGGGATGATAGAAATACTTTGGAACTGGTTGGCGCTTGTAATGCATGGCATTGTAAACGCATTGAACAATGCCACTGAATTGTTCACTTTAGAATGGTTAATTTGTGTTATATGAGTTTCACTTCTGTTTTATAAAATCCTTAAAACCAAAAAGAAGAAAGACATGTGATGCAATGCAGCAATTGCACTCCTAGGTATTCATTAAAGTAAATTATGTATGTATGTATATATATGTTTGTGTATCTATAGATATATACACATTCCCATTCACAAATACTTGTACATGAATGTTCATAGTTTTTTTATTCACTATAGGAAAAAACTAGAAAAAACTCAAATGTCTATCAGTTGATGAAAGTATAAACAAACTGTTGTATATCCACATGATAAAAAATTACTCAGCAATAAAAAGAGACAAACTACATACAACATGAATGGATCTAAAAAAATATTTTGTTTTGTGAAAGAAGCCAGATTCAAAAGACTACAAATGGTGTGATTCCACTGTAGAAAAGGCAAAACTATAATAATAGAAAACATTTTGTAGGTTATTAGAGGCAAAGTTGTTAGGAGTAGATTGACTGAAAAGGGGATCACTTCTTGGGATAATAAAACAGTTCCATATCTTGATGATGTTAGTGGTGGCTACATGACTGTATAAAACTCACTGAAAATGAGATATCTAAAATTAGTACATTTACTGTATGTAAAACATATGTTAATAAAATTAATTTTTAAAAGAAGAAAAAAAAAAACCTCTTCATGCTAAACTTAGTGGTTGTTTTTAAAAAAATACCCAACTTAAATCTTTATTTAGATGTGGCATGTTAAAATTCTTCCAATGATGGCCAGAGAGATTTTCTAGAGTTGAGGAAAATCTTTTACCCTTTTGACTCAGGTGCTAAAGGGGAATATTAAGACAAATATGCCTTCTGTGCCAACGGAAGATTGAACCAAACAATATATTCAACCATATGTTCTCATCTCAGCCTGACCATCTGCTGGCTGCACACTTAAATATATCATCTACTTCACTGATTCCCATTCGAAGAAAAACTATGGGGTAAAAAAGAGATATCCTATAAAATAGTTAGCTAATCGCTATGTTGAAAGAACCTAAGTACACTATCTTGCAAGAATAAACCATGCACCCTGGGGGAAATAAATTCATTCAAGGTATCAATGTAACTCTGAGTCTGGAGGAAAAATGCTTCTATAGCTATAAAAAAGAAATGGAACAGGATTTGTGTCTCAAAAACTTGACCTAAGACAATCAAGGGAGCAAATCTATTTGTCTGATATCTCTAGATTGCCCTTGAGGAGAAATTAGATAAAAATGAGAGTTACAGCTATCTTTCCATTGCCACTTTGATGTCTACATTTCTGTCCTTTTGAGAATTTTTGTTGTTAAGGTAAATAGTCTATATACATATATATATGTGTGTGTGTGCTTCTAACAATGATGTAAAACTCCATTTTTACATTTGCTTGGTATGAACCATGATTTTCCCTGAGCAGTTGGAGAAAAATCTTGATCTTATTTCCCTACTTCTCCAAAGGCAGAATTAGATTGTTTTTCTTAAAACAGCTGGAAAATAACTGCTATCTGTTTGCCAGCCTACTAAAGACGTGTTAGTCCTATTGCTAAATCCCCAAAGTTTCTGTCTGTGAGAGTGTGTTAGTTCTTCATTAAAATGACATCTACAAAGAGATACATTATAATTCAGTCTCTTCATTCAATCTGAAAACATTATCATCAGGGTAAAGCTTCTGACGTTTGCAAAGTTAAATATAAGACTGCTTCTTGAGAGATGATCCTAATTTCAATCTTTTGCAAATTTCATCTCAGCAGCTCCTTAGGACCCACTTCTTCCCACTGCCAATGGCAAATGGCGCCCTTCAGACGTTATCCTTTTCCCAATCCAGCACTTAGCACATTGCAGCCACTGTCAGAAAAGCAGCCTGTCAAAGACTAAATCACAAAGGATGGATCCTGCTGTTTTCTTCACATCAAAAAGAGAATCCCCTGGGGTGACTTTAAGACACAATGTTCACCTGTCACTTCTAGCTCATCTGCAGAATCCACTTGGGGTGCTTTTCACATTGTTAGGTAGTCACATTTCTTTTCTTTTGCCTTTCGTTTATGAAAAAAGAAACACCCCACAGAAGGCGAACCCGGGACTCTTTATAAAAGGAAATTCAGCAAGGTGCAGCTAGCAAATGAATAATCTGCTTGCACTGCACTGCTTTCAAGCAGGCTTAAAATAAAGCAGTTTATAAGGCCCAAATAGAATTACATTATAACAGACTCAAAAATCCCTCTGTAAGCCCAGTGTTCAACCTAAGAGGAAAATTCCAGAAGGGCTGCATGTTGAGCTGATTCAAGGTCCCTGAAATGTTCAAGAAAGATCATTTTCAGCACTTCCTTCCACCACCTCTCACTACTTGTTGGGTGCTTTAGCTTATGATCATGCAGGGGACCTCAGAACTGAGAATTCTTGCTAGGCACAAGGTTTAAGAAGGGAATATCTTAGTCTAAGGTTGAATGTTTAAATTATCTTCTAGAAGTGCACTCAAGTCGGCCTACTGCAACTGAACATAATTCTTTAAGCTCATGATTGCCTAACCTGCTAAGTGCTCACTCTAGCCCTTGGAGTTCCTTCCAGATGAGCTAAGTGCTTTCTGCATGCAAATTTCATGATTAGAGATAGGAATTTAATGGAACAATTCTGTAGCTCTATGAAGCATAAAAACACTGGAGAAGAGAGGACCACCTTCTTACACCCTGGGACTGTTGAAAGGTTGCCAACCTCTTTAGCAGAGAAAAGCTTGATAGAACGTCTGTCTAAAATGCCAAAAAACAAAAACGAAAACAAAACAAAACACACCTACTAGTGTCACCTGCTTGATTGAACGAAACATTCCCTTTTTGTTCCGTCCCAGACTAAACCTGTTCAACTTAGGCCTCCTAATTAGCTGCCCTGCTTTTTGGAGCTCACCATTCCATCCATTCTGCATACTACTGCCAGATAAATCTTTATTCCAGTGCCTAA